ATCACCATCATAATCATTATTATTAACATTATCATCATCATTATCATTATCGTCATTATCATTATTATTATAATTATCATTATTATCATAATTATCATTATTATTACGATTATCATTACTATTATTATTAACATCATTATTACCATCACTATTATTATCATCATTATTACTATCATCATTATTATTATTACACACTTCAGCACACACTTACACACACTCTCCTTATGTTACGACAGTCTGAGATTCTTGGAGGAAGCTCAGTGTTACAGATACGAAGATTTCATCTCACGAATAAATCAGTTTTTTTTTTCTCTCGGCAAGTGTTGACCGGAGGACGAATTGCAGTTGCATTATGAGTTATTTCAAAGTCGAGGAATTTGTTTTAAGGAAAGAGGATAGGGGGAGGGGTGATAGGGATGAGGGGTAAGGGGAGGGGAATGGAATAGAAGGATAGGGGAGGGAGAGATAAAGAGTGATGGAGAGAAAGGTAGGGAGAGATGAAGAAATGAGAAAGAGAGAGAGAGAGGGAAAGAGGAAGAGAAAGAGAGAGAGAGAGAGAGAGGAAGCAAGAGAGAGAGAGAGAGAGAGAGGAAGCAAGAGAGAGAGAGAGAGAGGAAGCAAGAGAGAGAGAGAGAGAGAGAGAGAGAGAGAGAGGAAGCAAGAGAGAGAGAGAGAGAGAGAGAGAGAGAGAGAGGAAGCAAGAGAGAGAGAGAGAGAGAGAGAGAGATGGAGTGAGATAGAGAGAGAGAAAGCAAGAGAGAGAGAGAGAGGAAGCAAGAGATAGAGAGAGAGAGGAAGCAAGAGAGAGACAGAGAGGGAAAAGGAAAGAGAGAAATATAATTTCATTTTTTTCCTTTCTTAATCCCACATTTCCGTGGCATTTCACGAGCAAAGACTAATTCCCATGAATAAAGGAAGGAAAAAAAAACTGACTCAAAAGTAATAGTAACTCGTAACTCGAACGTGTCAACGTCAGAAATGTAATATATTCGAAACCGGTTAATTACATCTCTTGTATTGAAAAAAAAAAAAAAAAAAAATCATTCATACCTTTCATTCATTTCATTTTCCATTCTACATCGTAAAGTAAGATTTCTAATTATCCCATTTTTATCGCTTTTATTAAGTGATTGTTTATCATGCGAGCATTTTTCTGAATATTAGTCTGGAAGTTTGGAATCAAGATTGTCAAGATACAAATAAGCTTAATAAAAACTGTGGAGCGAATTGCATTTCTAATATCGATTGAAATGGTAGTTTGAGTCTGTTCCTCCTGTGAAATCTGTACCAGAAATAAATGCATATATATTTTTCTCCCCTTTTCTTTCTCTCTCTCTCACCCCCCCCCCCCTCCTCTCTCTCTCTCTCTCTCTCTCTCTCTCTCTCTCTCTCTCTTTCTCTCCCTCTCTCTCTCTCTCTCTCTCTCTCTCTCTCTCTCTCTCTCTCTCTCTCTCTCTCTCTCTCTCTCTCTCTCTCTCTCTCTCTCTCTCTCTCTCCCTCTCATCCTTTCGTACCCAGAACCTGCATCTAATTCTGCACCACAGTCTCTAAAACCATCTAAAAGTTATTTTTGTTTATTCCTTCCTTTCAGCATTATACACTGCAATTTGAGGAAATCATTACAACAACCCGTTCCATTCTCGCTTCGTTTACAGTCGCGCCGTTTCAGTGAAATTCTAAAACCACCCCTACTTGTCTTAGACACCAATAATGGACAGACTTCCCTGGGGATAATGAGATTTCCTAGATCACAGGACACCGTTAATGCGTACCATGAGCGAAAAAGAAATAGGGAGAGGGAGAGGAAGAGGAAGAGGGAGAGAGGAAGAGGGAGGAAGAGAGAGAGAGAGAGAGAGAGAGAGAGGGGGGTGAGAGAGAGAGAGAGAGGGTGGGGTGAGAAAAAGAGAGAGAGAGAGAGAGAGAGAGAGAGAGAGAGAGAGAGAGAGAGAGAGAGAGAGAGAGAGAGAGAGAGAGAGAGAGAGAGAGAGAGAGAGATTGAGAGAGAGAGAGTGATAGGAGGAAGGAGAAGAGAAGAGATGAAGAGGGAGAGGGAGCAGAGTAGAGAGAGAAAGAGAAAGAGGAGAATGGATAGAGAGAGAAAGAGAGGAAAGGGAAGAGCCATGTATATAAATCTCTCTCTCTCTCTCTCTCTCTCTCTCCCTCCCTCCCTCTCTTTCCCTCCCTCCCTCTCTTTCCCTCACCCTCCCTCTCTTTCCCTGTCCCTCTCTCTCTTCCTCTCCCTCCTTCCCTCCCTCTCTTTCCCTCCCCCCTCCCTCCCTCTGCCCCTCTCTCCCACAGTATCCAAGTCCTTCGATACCAGCTTCCTGTGGGTTGAAGTTTTAATGATGTCTCCGTCACATACACGGCTACGAAAAGATGACGACAACGGGATGGACTGATGAATTGATGCTGATTAATGCTTGCTTATTTTCTTCTTTTCCTATTCTTTGATTCTTTATTTTGTGTTGTTGTTCTTCTTCCTATTCTTTTTTTTTCTTGT